ACCAGCAGGCCATGGAGGAGGCCGCCTGGCACCACATGCCCCACCCCTCTGACTCCGAGCGCATCCGGTGAGGGGCCCGAGGGGTGCCAGGGGCTGGGCCCCGGGTGCTGAGGGACAGCAGGGGCCCGGGCACCTCGCCTGACCTCTCAGAGGTGGGGTCCAGGAGCTGAGCTGTCAGGACCCGCACCTGTGTCGGTGCCCAGCAGGGTGGCCGCAGGTCACGGCGCTCACGTTCTCTGTCGCCCACAGGCAGTACCTGCCCCGCAACCCCTGTCCGACGCCCCCCTACCACCACCAGATGCCGCCCCCGCACTCGGACACCGTGGAGTTCTACCAGCGCCTGTCCACTGAAACACTCTTCTTCATCTTCTACTATCTGGAGGTACAGCGGGGCCCCCGGGGCAGCCTCGGGCCCCCCGGCTTCACCACCACGCCGCCGTCCCCCCTCGGGCTGGAGGGGTGAGGTGGGTGTCCCACTGCGGCCGCCGGGACTGCACCCCACCCTCTCCCCCAGTCCTGGGCCCCCCAAGTCCTCCTTTGTCCCTGTCCCCACTTCTGGTTCACTGGCCACACAGCACAGGGTCTGGGAATCCAAGTCCTCTCTGCCACCATGATTGTACCTCCTCGGCTTGGACAGTCCCTGCAGTGCAGGTGACCTTTCTGGGCCCCTGGCACACCCCACCCCTGCAGGGGATTCTCTGCCCTCCTCATGACCCCCACCCTGCTTGGGAACCCCACCTTCCATCTTGCTTGTGACACCCCTTCCTGACCTCCCGTCCTCCTCACGACACCCCTCCCTGCTGGTGGCTCCCACCCTTGATGTGACCCCAGCCCTCCTGGTGACCCATCTCTGTACAGACTTGGGGACGTTCTCAGTGGCTGTTATCTCAGCTCTGGAAGCGTTAGCGTCTCCTCTTAAATCCACTCTGAGGGCACTGTCCCTCTGTGTCTCATCTGAGCACCAGTGTACCTGTGACCCCAGCAGCCTACCTTCCATCAGAGAGTCCACTAACCCCAGTCCCCAGCAGGAGCCCTCACTCAGCCCTGATACCCACTCCACCCACCCCATCCCTCATGTTTGGGGGACCCCTGACGCCTCCTTCTTTCTGTAGGGTACCAAGGCACAGTACCTGGCAGCCAAGGCCCTGAAGAAGCAGTCATGGCGATTCCACACCAAGTACATGATGTGGTTCCAGAGGCACGAGGAGCCCAAGACCATCACGGATGAGTTCGAGCAGGTGAGGGCCCCCCACCTCCCGGTCCCACCGGGGTCACTGGTCCGTCCTCAGCACCTTCCACCTCCACGCTCCTCAGGCTGCAGGGACGTCTGCGCTCTAACCACGTGGCGCCCACACCTGGGGCCCTGCCTGATGGTCCCGTGTCCACAGGGCAGGGGCTCCCCACGTCTTCCGTAGGGACTTCTGCTTTCTGATGTGATCACCTCACGCTCTGACCTGTGCCCGAGCCAGACACCTGGGTCTGAGCCCGGCTCTTGATGCTGACGCCCCAGCATGTGCTCTGAGGGCCCCTCGGGCAGCACAGTTGGGTGCTGGAGCCCTGGTGGCTGCTGGTTAAAGGCTAGAGGCCGTACTCCAGGTTCCTCAGTTCCTTCAGCTGAAGAAATACCGAGCGACCTCGGCCCTTCTGATGCTCGGACTGCAGCTCTTTGCACTTTTTGTTCAAATATTTCACTTTGCCTCATTGAACTGCCCTTCAGAATTTTTCTGTTCACCTCCTTACTTTCAGATGTCTTCCCTTTGCTTTGGCTTGCTTTTCTGCGCTCTAGTTCAGTAGTCTCTTCTGACATCCAGCTCGGTCTTTTCTTCCTCCTGTATTCCCCCCCTCCTTGTTTTTTTAATGACCTTTTGCGTTCATCATGGATAATATTGCTAGCCTCCCACAGCTCACCTGGTCTTCGTTCATTAGTATCTAAGGCCTCAAACCTGAAATGGTCTTTAAATTCAGGGGGCGACAGACTGAAGGTCAGATTTTGGTCGTTGTGGATTTAATTTTCTCTAGCTTCAGTTACAACTTGCGTATCAGTAGTATATGGTCTATTCTACAATCAACAGAGCATAGACATTACCAAACACTATTACAGATATCACATACAAGCAGAATCTTGCTGAAGATTACCAAACACAACTGGAACAGTACATCAGCCGAGAACTCCTAGAAGTAGATGCAGGCTGGATTTAGAAGAGGCTGTGGCACTAGGGACAGCATTGCCAATGTCAGGTGGATCTTGGCTGAGAGCAAAGTACCACAAGATTGTCTCTTTTTAATTGACACCAATGCATTTGACTCTGTGGATCACAGCAAATTCTTGCTAACCTTGAGAAGAATGGGAGTCCCAAAATAGCTGACTGTGCTCATGGGAAACCTATACTTGAACCAGGAGGTGGTCATCAGAACAGAGCAAGGAAACACTGCATGGTTCACAGGCAGGAAGGGAGTGTGTCAGGGATGCAGCCTGTCTCCAGACCTTCTCAATCTGTATGTGGGACAGATCATTCAGGAGCTGGTCTTTATGAGGAGGCATGTGACAGCAGGTTTGGAGGAAGGCTCATAAACAACCTACAGATGGCACAACCTCAGTTTATGGCTGAAACTGAGGAAGGCCAGTAGCGCTTGCTGCAGAAGATCAAGGACTGTAGTCTTCAGTACGCATTGAAGTTCAACATCAAGAAGCCAAAAAGATTCTCACCACGGGACCAATTGGCAGTACCATGATAGATGGAGAAAAGATTTAGGTTATTAACATTTTCAGCTTATGTGGGTCCACAGTCAACACTCCTGGCACGACCAGTCAGGAAGTCAAAAGCCTTAACTGCACTGGGAAAACCTGCTGTCAGGGACCTCTCCCGAGGACTGCGAAGGAGTGATGTCAGTCAAGAGACTAAGGTGCGCCTGATCCAAGCCAGAGTCTTTGCCTTTACTTGCCCTGTATCAGAGCTGGACAGTGAACAAGGATGACAGATGACTTGATGCCTTTGAGTTGTGGTGCTGGAGGAGTATTGAGCATACCATGGACCACCAAGAAAAACAGGTCTGTCTGGAGAGGTTGAAGTTCCAACTTGCTCTCTGGAGGCAAGGATTTTTATTTATTTTATTATTATTATTATTATTATTATTATTATTATTTTTGTGTCTGTGTGCCGTCAAATCGGATCTGACTGGTACAGGAGAAGATTGTCTCTCCTTCCCCGGCAGAGCATCTGGTGGATTTGACCCGTGTGCCTCTGGGATTGCAGTGCAGCTTCTTGCCACTAGGCCACCAGAGCTCCCCTGAGGCAAGGATTTTGAACCTCCATCTCATATACTTTGGGCATACTGCCATGGGGGACCAGGCCCTAGAAAAGGACCTCATTCTTGTGCTTCCCCCCCCCCCCCCCCCCCCATCTTACTTTTTTATTGGAGAGGCAATGCAGGAGAGGAAGGCCTTGGATGAGACAGGTTGACGTAGTGAATGGGGTGATGGGGCAGGTATGTCGGAGACAGATTGGCTCAGGATAGGACAGAGTTCAGAGCTACTGTGCATGGGCTCACTGTGAGTCACAGGCAACTCGCCGGCACAGACTAACAAAAACTGCCTCAAGGTGAGCGGTTTGATGGCCCTCCAGCCTCAGGACCCTCTAGGGAAGTCCTGTGTCTCCCAGGGTCGCCGCGAAGCAAAACTGACTTGAGAGTGCGTTTTTGGGGACAGGTGTCACGGGTAGACCTTAGAGAAGACGTCAGAGACACTGCAGCTTGCCTTCTGGACCACTGCAGTAAAACCAGTGAAGAGTGGGTTAACGTGAGAGTAGGCTTAAGCTCGGAGGTGTGTGACCCCAGAGCCCTGACTCACTGCCGAGTGGTCAGAACTGACCCTCCAGTGGGTTTTCAGAGCCTGTAAGTCACGTGTGAGGAGACTGCCCGTCTCTCTCCCAAGGAGCAACTGGTGGATCTGAACTACCTCCCTTTGGGTTGGAAGTACAACTCACTACTCACGAGGCCATCAAAGGAAAATGTTACAGGAGGCCAAGAATTAGCAGATACTGGGCTTGCTCGGCTCAGGGTCTTGGGCCTGCTTATAGAAAGGACCCCTGTACTGTCTGGAGCGTGTAGTCACCTGTCCAGCGACTTGGGAGTTGGTGTGACCACGGCATTGCTGCAGGCCATGCGGAGGAGAGTAAGGTCCTTGTCTGGGGGACCCCCTCCCACCCAGTGCCAGCAGAGCCCACAGCCCAGCCCTCCCTGTCACTCTCCAGGGTACATCCAGGCAGCCCCATCCGGCCAGTGAATCAGAGTGCCTGCTCTGCCTCCGCCCCCAGCCAGCATCCCCCCAGCAGACCAGGCTGGGACGTGGCCACACACCCGCCACTGGATGGCCGTGCGGGCCTGCAGCCTTCCCCTGCCCGCCTCATACCTCTGCCCTCCTCCCCACAGGGCACCTACATCTACTTTGACTACGAGAAGTGGGGCCAGCGGAAGAAGGAAGGCTTCACCTTCGAGTACCGTTACCTGGAGGACCGGGACCTCCAGTGACCCCGGCCCCTCCCTCTGCCTGCCCCTGCCCCGCATGCTGACCCTGCCCAGGTGAGGGCCTTGCCCTGGAAGATGGGGGAGGCCCCGCTCCTCCGGCCATGGGGCAGCCCCCTCCCCCAGGAAGCAGGGAGGGGGCCGGGAGGTCTTCTCTTCCTCTCAGCCCCGCCCTGGGGGCCTGGGGGCGAGGGCTGCCCCCTCCTCCCCTCCCCAGTGAGGGACATTTTTTGGTAAACCTATTTTCATTTTGGAAAATATTTATGAATAAATAGTTTTATATGACGGCTGGCGGCAGCAGCCTCTCGTGCCCCCCTTGGGAGGGGGATGTGGGGTCTCATGGCTGTGGTCCGATGGGGTCGCCACATGTCCTGGCGGCGGGAGCCTTGTCCCAGCTGGGGTCAGTGAGGGTGCCAAGGATCTGGTCCACAGAGACTTGTTACAGTGGGGGGCATGGTGGGCTCTTGTACTGGTTGGGGTCAGCGGGGAGGCTGGGCGTCCTGGTGGAGGCGCCGGGCCAGTTGGGGGTGGAACTGGGAGTTGTAACGTCGCCGCCGTTCGTCCATCTCCTCTGGTGGGTCCTCTTTGGGGGCGTCCCCTCGGACTCGAGCCAGCAGGGCCTCTGCCCGAGCCCGTTCAGCAGCTTCCCGCTTTAGACGTTCCGCTCTCAGCTGGTCCAGGGATGGGGGTCTAAGGGAGAGGAGTTGGCTCAGCAGGCGAAGGGCCCTGGGAGGCCGGCCCCTTCTCTGCAAGTAACGTCCACCGTAAACCCCCGCCCGTGTGCACAGTCCTGCACGCCTAGCCTCCGCCCTAGAGCCTGAGCGGGGCAGGCCAGTCTCCCCGGGCAGCATCCTCCCTCCACTGCTGCCCCATAGCCTTTCCTCCTGCAGAGAAGAGCTGCTGGGCTCCTGGGGGGCTCCTGCCTGTGACACTGACCACCGAGCGTGTTGTGTCCTGCCGTGGAGCCTCTGAAAAAGCCCCTCACTGCAGCGAGGGGATCCCAGACCAGCCCATGGGGGCATGAGGCTGTCACCCCATGGGGGGGCCTGAAGTTGTCACCCCAGCAGGCACAGACTGGCTCACCCTTCCCCAGGGAGAGGCTGCTGGGTGTGCACCTCTGTCCTGCAGTTGGCAGCCCAGTGCTAACCTGAGCACCAGGGCTCCCTGGAGCATGGGGTGTGCAGGACCTGAACCTACCGGGCACCCCAGCAGCCTCCCAGGCAGTGCTGGCCTCCCACGTGGCCTCCAGGGCCCCTGCTCTGCACAGAGCCTGTCAGGCACACTGGGCCCTGAGACCCTGGTCTGCCAGCCCCTCGCACCTGTGCGCAGGCCTGGGACCCAACGGTGGCCTGAGCGCCTCCACCGGCGCCCACCGCCCTTGCACTTACTCCCGGGGCCGCTTCTTGGCCACAGCTTCCTCCTTCCGGCGGGGCCCGTCCTCGGCGCTGTGCCGCCTCTTCCCCAAGTGCTTGTGGATCTCCCGCAGAGGGTCCAGGCGGCTCTTGGTCTTCTCGTCGGGCCCTGGGCCGGGCTGGGGGGCCCCGCGGCCCGGGGGCAGCTGGTACCACGGGGGCTGCGTCTGCGCCTCAGCGGCACTCTGGCCCAGGTACGTCAGGATGCCCAGTGCTTTCTCCTGCCGCTCCTGAGGGACAAGGGTCAGAGGGAAACCGTGTGTGTGGCTGCTCAGGGGTCTCCTGCAGGGCCCTGTATCCAGAGCCTCCCAGCCGGGCCCCTGAGACGGAGACCAGGGTCAGTTCACCCCGCAGGCCAGCTAAGCAAAGGCTTGTCTCCCGCTCAGCGGTGAGCAGCTGGATGTGCTCCCCACGTCCAAGGCTCTGCTGCCGGGGACAGCTGGCGTCTGTCCCTCCCAGACCAGCACTTCTACAGGTCACAGCCGCCTCTCAGGTTTACACACTGTGATGTGCAGGCTGGACTAGGGCCTGGGGAGAACCGTGGGGTGCTCTCACGTGTGGTGGAAACGGGAAGCAGCTCCCACAGAGCAGAAGCAGGCACGGGGTGACCCCGCTCACCTTGCTGGTGGGCAGGCCATCCCCAGGTGGGAGAAAGCCTGGGGCGGCAGTGAGAGCACTTCAGGGGGGAGGTGGTGGGCTGACTGCAGCAGGTCCCCGGGGGAGTGAGGGGGCTGAGACCTCTGGGCTGGGAACAGGAGCCCAGACTTCACAGCAGCCGGGAAGCAGAGCCCTGGGCACACGGAGGGCTGTGCCGAGGAAGTTGGGGGCACCTGGTGTCAAAGTGAGAGCCCAGCCCCAGCCCCGCACTATCGCCAAGAGCCAGGAGGGTCCACCCAGGACGGAGCTGCCCCAGCCGCTCGTGCTGATGGCTGGAGCAGTAAGCACCCCTCAGCCTCGGGAACTGGGAAAGGCAGCCGGGCAGGAAGGCACAGCACCGCGGCCACTCTGTCCCCTCCACCCGGGGACGGCAGAGCTGAGCAGCCCACAGCTGGGCTGGGCTTGGGCACCGGTGTTGATGGCCACCCCCGGTGTGCAGAGGACTGTTCAGAGCCTTCTCAGGGCTGAGAGTGTTCACAAGCAGATCCCCACTCCTGTCCTCCGACCAGTCTCTCCTGGTGGATTTGAACTGCTAACCTTTGAACTAGCGATTGAGCATTTGCACCACTCAGGGAAACCCCACAACAGAATGACTGTGTCCTGTGGGTGCCTGGATGGCTGCAGCCTACACACCTGGGTGCTGTCCTGGGGCTTGTGAATGGCACGTATCCCCCCCGCGTCTCCACGCCCTGCATTCACGCGGTGCCCACCCTGCACCCCCAGAGCCCACCTACCTTCTCCTGCCGCTTCTCCTCCTCATACTCCTTGTTGCCTCTGGTCCCAGCTCTCCCCTCTTCCAGCAGCTCCCGGAACAGGTCCACAGGGCCGGGACTCGGGGCACACGCCTCCAGTGCCTGCAGTTCAGGGCGTGGGTGCTGGTGCCGGGCCTTCTTTCGGAGAAAGTCGGTGCGGGCCTGCGGGAGGAACGGTCATCACAGGACGCTCCAAACCTAGCAGTGACTCGCCAGATAGCCTCGTGTGGACTGCTGAGAAGCCCAGTGCCTGGCGCGCCGCCCCAGCCCCCCGCCACCCCCGCTGAGCTGAGGTCCTGCCCCTGAGGAATCCCTGAGTCTGGTAAGTAGGGTGGGGTTCCCCAGTCAGTGACCATAAAGCAGCTATCAAGAAAATCAGGCCTCAAAGACCCTGCAGGTGGGTTCCAGGCCACCACAGAGTGAGTCGGTCACTGCTGACATAAGCACTGTTTCGCACCACGCTGTAGTCAGCAATCGGCAGCTCTGGTGGTGGCAGTCCACAGGGACTGCGAACCCAAAGGCTCTGGGGGTTCGAATCCAGATGCAGCGCCTCAGGAGAAAGATGACTGGGTGTTCCAGAAGATACAAAGCAAAGTGGCCGTCAGCTGAGTCAGTTCTGACCCGACAGCAGCACATTTTTAGGTGATCTCTGTGCCAGAGCATTCATGATGAACAAGGTGAAAGGCTGTGAGAAGGGAGCTCTGCTGGCCTGGTAGCAAGAAGCTGCACTGCAATCCCAAAGGCACACAGTTCAAATCCACCAGATGCTTCACTGGGAAATGAGGGCCAGTTCCCTCCTCCTGTGCCAGTCAGATCCGATTTGTTGGTACACAACAAGGTGGGGGGAAGAGAAAGGCTGTGGGAAAGACCGAAATAGGATGCAGAGAAAAACAGCAACCATAGACTTCTCGAGGCAGGGTCACCACAGACATTCAGTTTACGAAAAATGCAGCAGCTGTGGGGATTGATAACGTGAGGTGGGAGACTGGGGTGATCCCCACTCAGAGGCAGATTCTCAGTAGCAGAACCACCCCATGGTCCCCACCGGCCTCTGAGGCTGTAACAGCAGACACAGACACAGCTCATCCTTCTCATTGGGTAGCTCACCTGAACTTCCAGACCATCTCAAGCCCAGACTGGCACTAAACACTCGTGACTGAAGACCACAACGGATTAAAAAACTAAAGTCAGTGTCAGAAGAGACTATGAAACTTGAATGTAGCTAACGTGAATACAAATATGGACCGGAAAAGATGCCAGGAATGTGTAGGAGAAAAACTATAATGACATGTGCAAAGAGCCAGACTGAACCAAAAGTGAAAAATACATTCAAAGAATTGAAGAACAAATTGAAGTCTTGACTTGGCAACACAAGGATTTCTATATGCAGTCTGTTAAATGATGCAAGAAGCATAAAAGGGGGAATACGCAGCCGTCGGTTATTTCAGGAAATAGCATATGATCAAAAGTCAGTGGTGCTGAAGGGAGACGTCCAAGCTGCACTGAAGGCACTGGAAAGAACAGGGTTCCAGGAACCGACAATACCAATTGAGGTGTTCAAACAAATGAATGTGATGTTGGAAGCATTCCTCCATCTAAGCAAAGAAACTTAGAAGACAGCTAGTGCCTTGGCCAGCCACCTGAAAAGATCCCTATTTGTAATCACCCCCCCAAAAAATGGTGATCTGACAATCGTAAATTATCAACCAATATTATCAATATCAGAAGCAAGGAAAAAATCTTACTGAATATTATTTTAAAACTGGCTACATCAGCACACTGACAAGGAACTATAAAAGAAGTCTAAGCTCAACAACATATAAGATGCAATATTTCTTCTAGGAAAAGAAATCTAAGGAAGGAAAATGACTGTGGTTTTACCATATAACCAAATAAGCAGGTTACAGGAAAAGTAAATGTTTATCCAGAGCTTAGGAAAACTTTCCCTTGATTTTGCTAGTTTACATAATAAGCTCTGATTCATTTTCTTTCAGTATTCCTTCATTTATTCTTTCAGGCATAATATTTAAGTACTTGCTTTTTTTTGGTATTTAAGATTCCTTAATCAAGGAAAACCAAATGGTATCTGTGCATGACTTCCCAGTCATATTTTTCCAGTAGCTTCAATGTCTTCCCTGTGGATATGATTTTCTATTTTTGTCTATGAAGAATTTAATAATTTTGGTATCGTGTGGAAGGTGGAGTAGTAGCTCTTTTCTGTTTAGGATTTGTAAACTCAATTTATATATCCAAATGACCAACCACAGATAATCTTTTAGGAAAGAACCTAGATACATTTTGGTATATCTCTACACAGGTTGTTTTTCCTCATTATGCCCAGATTAAAGGTTCTCTCTTACATGACTTGATGGCACCTTAAAACAGCAACAACAGTAAAGGGACAGTAGAGGGGGGAAATCTAAGGTGGATTCAAAAGAGGCCTTGGACAAAGAAAGGACTTCTCTGAAGCTGACATCAGATGGATCCTGGCTGAGACTAGAGAACACCAGGAAGGTGGTTTATCAACTGCAGAGGGATCTGGTGATGCAAAACTGGGGAGAATGGAATTCCAGAACACTTGGTTGTATACCTGTGGAGTCTGAACAAGGGGATACTGCCTGGTTTAAAATCAGAAAAGGTGCACTGGGATCAGATAGTTTCACCATTCTTCGTATGTTGCAAAGGATCCAGGAAGATGACAGAGAATACAGCCTCAGGGTTGGAGGAACATTCACCAACACCCTGCCCTATGCAGATGACACCATCATGCTTGCAGAAAGCGAAGACTTGAAGGGCTTAAAGGAAATCAGGGACGACAGCCTTCAATACGGATTACACATCATCAAGAAAACAAAATCCTCAAAACGGGACTAATAAACAGCATGATAAATGGAGAAGTGATAAGGGTTTCCTTTTACTCGGATCTACACCGTCACTCTTCAGGGACATAGTGCTGTCAAACAGTGTTGCTTTGGGCAAATGTGAAAAGATCTCTTTAAAGTTGTCACTTTGAGGACTGAGGTGCACCCGACACATGGTCATAGCCATCTCGACTGTGTATGCGCATGAGAGGGGTACAGCAAGGACGGCGGGAGAATCGATGGCCTGTGAGTTTGCTGGACTACCAGCCTTTGGGACACTTGAGTCCTGGAGAAGGTGCAATCAGCTCCACAAGAGATGGACAGCCAGTACCTCACGCTCTGGACTAGAAACAGGAGAAGTGGGGCTTGGTCTGTGCAAGGCAGGCAGACCCTCGGGGGCATGGGCTGGCATGGCGGCCACCACCTCGGTCAGCAAGACAGCAGTCCTGAGGACGGGACAGGACCCCACGTTTGCTTGCATTGTGTACAGGGGTTGATGAGGAGGCCGGAGACTCTGAGGCACCTAACGCCTAATGCGGACAGGTGCATGTCTCCACCTTTCTAAGGTGCCGCTGGCTGGCTGGACCACCAGCCTTTTACCAGTTTTTGCCATCTGGACACTAAGGTCCGCCTGATACAGGCCATGGTCTTTGCTATCACTTGTTATGCATCAGAGGGTTGGACAGTGACTAAGGAGGATAGGAGAATTGACGCCTTTGAGCTGTGGTGCTGGAGAAGAGTATTGGATATACCCTGGCTGGACTGCTAGGAAAACGAACAGATTCATCCTGGAAAGGGTTAAACCGGGTGGCTCCTTGGAGGCAAGGATTCTGAGGCTCCGTCTAACATACTTTGGACATGTAAGGACATCATACTTTGAAGAAGGACATCATGCTTGGGAGGGTGGAGGGACAGCGCAGGAGGGGAAGACCCTCTATGAGGTGGATTGATTCAGTGACTGGGGTAATCAGGATGGGAGTGTCAGAGACAGTGCGGTTGGCACAGGACAGAGCGGAGTTTAGGGCTCTTGTACATAGGGTCGCTATAACAACATAACAACAGGGACCATACACAGAGATTGTCAATTCCGACTGGGGGGACATAAAACACAGTAGCCTCATAGGGTTTTCACAATTCTGATGGGCCACTGGGTTGGGAGCGGCACTGTCAACCCGAAGGCAGGTGGTTCGAATCCACTCCACCACAAACTCATGAACAACGTACAGCCTCTGACCCACTAGCGGCAGCTATGAGTTGGGACAGCAATTTGTGGGTTTGGCGGGTTTTCTTAAATCTTTACAGAAGGGAGCTCGGCTAGCTCAAAGGTGGCATCTCCCTGGGGGTTCGAATCCACCAGCAGCTCCACGGGAGAGACGGTCAGTCTCCTCCCCGGTGATTTTACACCCACAGTGAATGAGGCTGTAGGTTGAGCAATGGCTGCTAGCTGTAAGATCAGCGGTTCGAATCCACCCGGAGCCCCGGGGAGCAACGCTGAGGCTCGCTGAGCGGAACTCGGCGCGATGGCAGTGCAGTGGCTTTGTGGCCGGACACTGCCCTGGAGGCCTGCAGCACTGCCGGGGACCCGGGGGCGGGGGGGGACAAGGGTCAGGGAGGCTACGTGCAGGTGAGCGGCCCAGGGCAGCTCAGCGGCTCCACCCATCCACCCACCCACTCATCCACCCATCCAGGCAACCCGGATGCACTGCGCCTGCGCGCCGCTGCACTTCCGGGCTTGGCCTGCGCCTGCGCGTTCTACCGGAAGCCGGCCCGCTGGGGGGCGCGCTTACCTCTTGCTCAGCGAGCAGGACCCTGCGCTCCCGCTCCTTCTCCTCCTCGCGGGCCTGGGCCTCGTCGCGCCGCACGCGGGCCACATTGTCTTTGTTCCTGACGTGCCAGCTCTTCTTGGGCAAGATATTCATGGCGCCGCAACCGTCCTCAGACTGCCAGGCCCGCCTCTTCGCACTTCCTATTGGAGTGAGGACGCTCCCGCCTTATTGTGGCAGCCTCTGCCACGGATTGGCCTAGGGCTAATTGGCCCGCCCTCGCTGATCTTTAGCGAAAGGTGATTGGCTGAGTCATCCAGCACTCATTATGTCGCATTGCCCCTAGCGCCTGCTGCGTATTAGTGTTGTCAATCACAGGTAGTCACGCCCATTAGCTGCTGAGGCGGCCGCTGATTGACTTTCACGCCTGCATCCGCATTTGATGGGCACATCGGGGTGGAAGCCTTGCATCTCCAAAGAGTAAATCCAAAAGCTGGATAGTCTCTAGCTGAAAGCTGCCCCATCGTTCTAGGGAGCACCTCGAACCACCCATCTTAACCATCAGGGCTACCAAAAGTCTTAAATTGTTATTTATTGATTTGCTAAAAAGAGTCAGGGCCTTGGCTGGTGGATATCTCGCAATCTCAGGATGGAAGTGTCGAAACTTCTCCAATACTCCCAATTTACAGATGGGAGTAATCGAGGCTTGCGATGGCACGACAGAGTCTGGGAGCAGGTGTGGAGCCCGAAGGCCGGTGCTGCATACTGAGGCAGGTGGGAGGAGGTCAGGCTGAGCTCAGCTCCACAGCGCGCTGTGCCAGGAAGACTTTGTTCTGGGACTCCTGGGGGGACGGGGTGATGGTGAGCCATCTCCCCTCCCCACGGCCCTTCCCGCATCCAGGGCCCCACCCAGACTCACCTTCTCGATCTGCCGCTTGAGCTCAGAGATGAGGCGGCCGTAGGAGTTGGCCAAGGCCACGGTGTATGCCATCAGGATGCTGCGGAGGCGAAGTCACACCCAATACGCTCAGGTCACCAAATTAGTGGACACCAAGGATCCAGGACTTCAGAGCCGGAGTCCTGACCCAGGCCTCCTCTCTCGGACTCAGAGTCCCTCACTCCCAGCTCTCCTCCCTCAGACCAGGGAGGGTGAACCTACTGGACAGGTGTCAGAGCTCCTCAGATGGCAGTGGGTGTGTGTTTTATGTCCTCTCGGAGACGCAGAATCCCAGCGTCTCACCTGGAGATGAGGAGAAGGGGCACCGCGAACGCCTGCGTGCCCAGGAAGAAGAGGAAGTTCTGGACGGTCTCAGGGAGCCCCGAAATGGCCTCGGGGATCTTGGCCCAGATGGACGGCTGCCCCCGGAACGGGCCGCACAGCTTGGAGGGCGGGATCCTGGGGTTAGAGGCAGGGACTCTAGTGAGACGAGCGTCCGGATGGATGCGGGGCGGGGCGGGGCAGGGCGGTGTTCACACTTACAGGAACATGCTGTACAGGACAGGCACGGCGGACAGGCCCAGACCCAGAAGGAGGACCAGCGGGAAGAAGAAGTTCACCGTGGACGCCCGGAAAGTGCGGGAGGCCGGCGAGCAGGTGGAGAAGAGCGCGAGCTGCGGAGGGACGTGCGAAGGACAGCAGAGAGTCCAGGACAAACTTCAAGCTTCCTTTCTCGGACCCGCCCCAGCCCTCCTCCCTCGCACCTGGGGTCCTCGTCCCAGCCCTCCTCCCTCGGACTCACGGGTCCTCACCCAACCCCAGCCCTCCTCCCTCGGACCCGGGGTCCTCACTCCCAGGCTTACTCCCTCGGACCCGGGGTCCTTGCCCCCAGCCCTCCTCCCTCGAACCCGAGGGTCCTCGCCCACCCCCTAGCCCTCCTCCCTCGGACCCCGGTCCTCCCCCAGCCCTCATCCCTCAGACCTGGGGGTCCTCGCCCACCTCCCAGCCCTCATCCCTCAGACCCACAAGTCCTCACCCACCCCAGATCTCCTCCCTCAGACTCGGGGCTGCTCAACCCCAGCCGTCCTCCTTCAGACCTGGGAGTCCTCACCTCTAGCACCTCCTTCCTCAAACCCAGAATCCCAACCAGGGGTCCTGTCCCGAGCCCCTCCTCCCTCAGAACCTAATAGTCTGATTTCTCTGCTCCCTCCTCCTCTGTAATGTAGAAGCAAGTCCTTCCGTCTCTTTCTGTCCCCGACCACCCCACATAGTCCAGGCCCCCAGGACGTAGGAGTCGTCCCCACCCCGCACCTTTTTCAGATAGAAAAGCAGCAAAAACTTGGCCGTGTTGAGCAGGGGCAGTAACGGGCAGAAAAAAGTCCCCACCCAGACCACCGTCTGCGCGTAGATGAGTCCCAGCACTTCATCGGGCACCTGAAATTCCTGAGTCCCTGCCAGACGGCCCAGTGCCCCAGGACAGAGGCCACAGAGCAGCCTGGGGGGAGCAAGCAGTGTCAGGGGTCATTGACAGCGCGTTCGCCCCACCCACCCGGCCCGCCCACCAATCGGAAGGGAGCATAGCCAGGGAGGGGCGGGGCTTTCCCTGGTCCACGTGGAGGGCGGGGCCTGGGACAAGGAGGGGGTTCGGGGGCGTGGTCGCCACAAGGGGCGGGGTCTTCGGGCTCAAACTCAGGAATCAGCGAATCCGGGGGCGGGGCATGGGGCAGGGGGTGTGTCCATCTGGGAGGGGCGGGGCTCTCACTTTCGAGGAAACTGAATGAGTAGCGTGACTGCCAAGCCCGTGAGCAGATCAAAGATCAGGAGTTTGTACATCTCCTGCCCCATCCTGGTCTCCCAGCACTGAGGAAATGAAAACGAGTCAGAGCGATCTCAAAACATACGGTTTCCCAGTCACAAGCGCGTCTGCGTGTCCTCTGGAGGCTGTCCCAGCCCTCTCGATCAGCCCCTTTTCTGGACCCCTCCAGTGTCGCCTTCTGTCCTGGCGCCGGGGATTTGCAGCCCCAGCCTGTCTCAGGTCCTCCGGATCTGCGCCCTATCCTTCCAGTCCCGTCTCTCCCGTCACACCTGGGGTCCTGGCCCCCTGCACCCTGCGCCATCACAACTAGGGGTCCTGGCCCTACCTCGCTTCCTCCGCCATCACACCTGGGTGACCAGTCTGCCCCTCGCTCCCTCCGCTGCCACTCCTGGGGGTCCTAAACCCCCGCCCCCTCCTCCATCTCACCTGGGGGTCCTGTCCCTACCTTGCTCCCTCTGCTGTCACACCTGGAAGTCCTGCCCTCCCGCCCCCTTTGCTTTCACATGTGGGGATCCTGGCCCCCCACCCCCTCCACCGTCACGTATGGGGATCCTGTCTCCCCCTCGCTCCCTCCGCCGTCACATCTGGGGGTCCTGGCCCCCCTGCTCCCTCCGCCGTCAAACCTGGGGGTCCTGGCCCCCGCCCCCTCCGTTGTCAGACCTGAGGTTCCGGGTCCCCCACCCCCTCCTCCATCTCACCTGGGGCTCCTGACCCCCACCCCTCCTCTGTCACACCTGGGGGCCCTGGCCCCCCACCCCTTCCTCTGTCACACCTGGGGGCCCTGGCCCCCCACCCCTCCTCTATCTCACCTGGGGCTCCTGACCCCCACCCCTCCTTTGTCACACCTGGGGGCCCTGGCCTACAGCTCCCTCCTGACACCCTGTCTTCTCACCGGAAGTTCTTTGTAATTGTAGCCACAGGCTTTGCAGTTCTCATTTTCAGAGTTGCCCCCACACGTGATTTGATTCCAGAGAGAGAAGAGCAGGACGAGGAGGGAGGCGAGGCGGAGAAACACAGTCCTGGGAGGTGAGGCGCGAGGGCGTCAGCAGGGACGCTGACTGGGTGCCCGCCTCCTGCCAGGCACCTCCCGAGCGGGCCATGCCCATGATTCCCCCCACTTTACAGATGAAGAAACCGAGGCTTAGTGAGGAAACCAGACCCCTCTGGATCTCACTTCCTCCGGACACCAAAGTCCCCTCCAAACAGCTCCTCCAAACCCTCCACTCCCTCTGGGACCTGAGCAGGATAAAAACGATCTGGCGGCTGCGGGTGTAGCCCTCCAGCGGGGCGATGAGCTTGAACACCGGCGGGAGCACGAAGTTGACCCCAGAGATGAAGATGGATGGAAGGTAGTCCACCACGAGTTTTAACAATGCCGTCTGCTGGACAATGGACATCTCCTGGAGACGAGGTGAAGCAACAGAAGAGCGAATGGGATTCTGGAGGTGCCATATCAAGGCGGTGCACAACACCCACAGCTCAACTGGCAACCAAACACGGGCCAGGGAGACACTCACTTCTGAGAACAGTAATCATTAAAACAACAACAAAGAACCCAAACAAAAAACCCACAAAACAAACAAACAACCAAAAAAATAAACAACCCACCAAAAACAAACCAGAAACATTAGCCACATAAAATCAGAACGGCAGCATCTGCTCAGAAGACAGGCGGGAGTAGAAGTCAGAAGTATTCTTAAAAAGAAAGAGAGGAGGGAAGGAGGGAAGGAAGGAAGGAAGGAAGGAAGGGAAGAAAGAGATAGAGGAAGGAAGGAAGGAAGAGAAAAGGAAAAAAAGAAAAGAAAAGAGAAGAAAAAAAGACTCATGGAAGGAAGCTCTGGTGGCCTAGTGGCAAGAAGCTGCACTGCAATCCCAGAGTTGCATGGTTCAAATCCACCGGATGCTCTGCTGGAGAAGGAAGGAGGCAATCTCCTCCTGTGCCAGTCAGATCAGATTTGACGGTACACTCACACATAAATAATAATAAAAATAGATGTATTCATGGAAACGAGAACCATGGGGGGTGAGAAGGGTGGGTGCTACTTTGGGACTTCAGTGATTCATGTGTAGAACAAAAGATAGATATGAATGGTTGGCTAGAAAGCCAATTTACTTTGCAAGCTTTCACTCAACTCACACACATATACACACAAATGCTTAAAATTCCCCCTCAGCATTGTCTCCATCCCCCCTAAATAAACCCATGTCATCAAGCCCTGACTCATGGTGCCCTCCAAGATTCTCCTGTGTATTAACCCAGGAAGTGAAACTGCCAAGCTTTCCATTAGCAGCTCAGCAAGTGACACCTTCATCCAGGACCCTGAAATCTGCTCCCCTTTCATCTGAAGACTGCAGGAACCCTAGTCTCCTCCTTTGAACAGAGGAGCCTTGGTGGCAAAGTCGGTTTAAGGAGTCAGCTGCTGGTGGGAAGGTTAACATAAAGCAGAAAAGCCTTCTGCTTCATACATAGGAAGTGCAGGGCAGTTCTATTTTTCTATGGGCATGAAGACTTTGGATGCAACACCAGTGGCTTTTGTGTTTTCCATTTGTCCTGAGACCTGCAGGCTGCGGGGCCTCCCCCTGGCTTCCCCCACGACCCCCGCACCTGCAGCTCCGTGGTGTACTCTGTAGCCCAGTAGACTCCGAAGAAGGCCGCTCCCAGGAGCGCGAGCACCACCAGGTTGACCAGCCCCCGCACGAACCACACCCTGGCTTGCTGACCCAGGGTCCGCTTGGCCGCCCGCTGACGCACCATGGCCTCCTCCAGCTCCACCTGAGGCCATGAGACACTTCTGCTTTAGCTCCATTCCTCCAGGCCTGCAGGAAGGTCCTGCCTCAAATGGAACTGATGCTGTCCAGTCCTTCTAAAGAGGTCCCTATAGCATTAGGACCCACCCAGCACCCAAGCTCCACGCCAATCTGCCCTGCCCGCCACTCTATGCCAGTCTGGAGTTCCAGTTGTACTTTTTCAGTCTAGTTTGACAGGCCCCATCCATCATCTAAGCCCAGCTCTTCGATGGCCTTGCCCAGTTGGGAGTTATCCTGACCCTGCTCATACCCCGCCTACCGGCAAAGCTCCGCCCATACTCTGCCCCCCCAGCCCTTTTACCAACCAGCAGGGAGCTCAGGATCTACTTTATCAGCTTAGTTCTCATGGCCACGCCCATTTGACAAGCCCCGCCCCTCATTGCCCCGCCCCACGCTTTATAAGGCTCTACAGTTCCCCCTGGCTCCACCTCTCTGTCCATCCTTAAATCTCTAAATACCCAGAATAAGAGGTACATTGCAAAGAGGACTGCGGGAGAGGGAAGGGAGTGGCAAGGAAGAAATGGTGCAACAATAAATAAAAAGCCAACTTTTCTGTAAACTGTTGTTAAAATCACAAAAAAAAAAATTTAAATTTTTTAAAAAGCTCCACCCCTAGTCAGCCCTGCCTAGCAGGCAAGACTTAATTTGGCCACATCCTACACTTGACACTGTTCTATTCCCTGGTCCCGCCCAGAAGACTAGCCCCACCTCTCTTTGGCTCCGCCCTGCACTTTTACATTGGTCTATTATCCTGGCCCCGCCCAGCAGACAACCCCCGCCCTTCTCATCCCCAATATGCACTCTATTGGTCTGAAGTTCTCCTGGTTCAGCCCAGGCGACCTGTCCATCATTTAAGCCCCACCCCTACTCGGCCCTGCCCAACAGCAGAAGGCGGGTGCACAGCACTTTACGACAATTTGGAGTCCCAGGTCTACGTTATGTAGCCACGCCCATCTGACTGCACCAATGAGGGTTAAGCCACGCCTATCTGGTGGCTGTCTTTGGTTCTATTGTAGCCACGCCCATCTTATTGCATCAATGAGCGTTAAGCCACGCCTCCCTGGCCCTACCTCTGGTTCCCTTTGTGATTTTAGAAGCCAGAATCCGTGAGAATAGACACCTCTGATCAAGACCCTGCTGTCGTTCAGCCCCTCCTCCTTTGCCCCTATATGGACCAGCCCACCTGTTGTAGACTCCGCCCCTTCTAAGCGCACCTGCAACTCGAAGAGGATGATTCGCTGGCGCAGCCGCACGTGGACTTGTCCAGAGAGGCCGAAGTCCCAGGCGGAGAACACCCGGTGGCTGTAGCTGGTCAGAGCCCCGGACTCGGCCAACAGTGTCTGCTTCATCCCGGACACGGAGCTGAGAGAGGGGAGACCAGGGAGTGTAGAAGGACAGCCAGGGACAATGCGCTCTGACCCTGTTAACATCTCGGTTGCTAACAGAAGAGGTCTGCAGGTGGACCCATCCACAGGCTCTGAGGGGGAAAGACTTGGCCATCTGCACCTGTAACCATTACAGCCTGGAAAAACCTACAGGTAAGAGCTTGTGGGCAGCTATCCAAAGTCCAACCACTGATCTTCGCCAGAAACAAAAAGGGGAGGAAACCAAAGATGTATCATAGACTTCATCCAAAGGATGCCCATAAAACTCAACTTCCAGGACACAGAGATCAGGAGAACCATAATGGTGCCTGGCTACCACCGCTGACCTCTCTAAAAAAGGATCACAGTAGAGCATCCTGGATAAAGTTGGGGCAAAGCTGGAACAACCTCAAAAAACACACCGTCCAGGCTTACTGGTCCTATGGAAACTGGTGGAGACTGCAGCCCTTCACCATCCTAACCAGCGGCAAAACTCACTCCCACGGCTCAGCTTTTAATAGCCAGGCCTAAAAGGTGATGGACATCACAGGATCCGGGGGGCGCTCACTCCTTAGAAATCACCAACCGTACAAGGTCAAAAGGGCAACATTTGCCCCAGGGTCAAGGTCACAAGTCAGAAAGGTGTAGAACAGAAAGAATGGAAATGGGACTGTGTGGGAAGACTCACATTGTCAGGACTGGAGCTCACATTACAAGACAAAATGGGTATAAATAATTGAAGGGAAGATCAATTTGCTTTGTAAACTTTTGTTTGAATCACAATTTTTAAAAGAAAAAAAATAAACCCTCATGCACACCCATGTTTATTGCAGCTTTGTTCACAATAGCAAAGAGCTGGAAACAACCCAAGTGCTCATCAACAAATGAATGGATAGGGGAGCTCTGGTGGCCTAGTGGCAAGAAGCTGCACTGCAATCCCACAGGTGTGCGGTTCAAATCCACCAGATGCTCTGCTGGAGGGGGAAAAATCTCCTCCTGTACCAGTCAGATCTGATTTGACGGTACACGCACACAAAATAATAATAAAGGGAAAAAAAACAAATGAATGGATAGAGAAGCTGTGATATATTCACACAATGGAATACTATACAGCATTGAAAAACAAGGAACTCATGAAATATTATACAAAATGGGTGACCCTGGAGGACATTATGCTGAGTGAAATATCCAGTCACAAAAGGACAAATATTGCATAGGGCCACTGTTGTAAAGCGAGACTGACATTGGGGTTGAGGGAAGACAGAAAAGGAGGGGAGGAATGATGTATACTGCATTGAAACAGATGAGAGAGAGAACTGTTTAAAAGGGACATATGAATGGGTATTCTTGTCATGACAGAAGTCCAGAGTGAAAGCTGCACAGTGGAGTGGAGATGGGGGAAGGGATTGTATAACAATGAAAGTTTTACTTTTCAAGGAGAAGAGTGAATTGGGGGAGAAGGGTAGGCAGGAAGAAAAGTGCAACAGTGAATGACTGGAAACCCTAAGTCTCTGTAAACTTCCATTTAAATCAATTTAAAAAATCACAAATAGGGGGAGCTCTGGTGGCCTAGTGGCAAGGAGCTGCAACTACAATCCCAGAGGCACACGGTTCGAATCCACCAGATGCTCTGCCGGGGAAGGAGGAACAATCTCCTCCTGTACCAGTCAGATCTGATTTGACGGTACACTCACACAGAAATTTAAAAAAAAATAAAGAAAAAATAACAAATAAATAAACCCTCTTGAGATAGTTCTACTCTGTTCTACAGCATTGCCTCAAAGCCACCTAATAATGAGATGCTTGATATTATTGAGCTTCCAGGTATTGGAGAAGAGGTCAATCTCTGGAGACAAAGGCCAACAGAGTGTCAAGGATCCAAATGCAGAACAAACCCACACTTGTTCGCACCAAGTCAATTCTGGCTGATAGTGACCCTGTGTGAACTGTGACAGAAGAGTTGAGGCTGCCCCTGAGCTGTGGTGTGCGGACTGAATAGCCCACAGCCTGCCAAAAGGACAAACAAGGATGTCTTGGGGAACAGTGCAGCCAGAGTGCTCCTTGGGGCCATGGAGGAGAAAGCTGCTTCTCACACACGTGGAGGATGTTTCTGGGCGAGCCTATGCCTTAGAGAGGGATGTCATACTTAGGTGAGGGTCCGCAAAAGAGAGGAAGACCCTCAATGAGAGGGACTGACACGGTGACTGCCTCAGTGGACTCAGGTGTGTCAGAGATTGTGAGGACGCACAGGACAGGATGGGGTTCAGACCTGTTGTTCATAGAGTCGCTATAAGTTGTACTCAGTGACATCTAACAAAATAAAACAAAACACCCACACAATGACAATATAGGGTTTCCAAGCCTGTCATCTTTACAAGGGTAGAATACCTTCTCTTTCTCCCATGGAGCCATGGTGGGTTTGAACTGCTGTAGACTTTAGTGGTCCAGTGCTTAACTCGCTACACCATCAAGACTACCCCAGAAGAGGACAGACAGATGCCCAGGAAGACAGCAAAGAAGAAAGGCAGAAGCTAGGGTTAGAGCTCCAGAGAAAAAGGGTGTGAGAGACAGAGACCCCAGGTGAGGACAGGGGTTTTGTCACAGCCACACCGACTGGTGTGTTATCTAACACTGGGGTTGTGCCTCTGTGGCAAAGTCCAGTTCACAGAGCTGAAAACACCCCCACCCTGTATCTTTCCAAGGAGTACTGAATTTAAGACATCCAGCTGCTAACCCGAAGGTCAGTGGTTCAAACCCACCAACTGCCCTGAGGGAGAATGATGAGGCAGTCGCTTCCCTCCAGATCAGAGCCCTGGAAACCCCAGGGTGGGGGTGAGCAGCTGTGCCCTGTCCTGCAACAATGAGTCAGAATCCATGCAGCCACAGGAGGTTTGGGGTTGAGTTTTGGAACTTTACGAAAAATATGGAACTAACCCTTTCAAGGCAGCACCTAACAACAACCACCACCCATTCAGGATGGAATCATTGTTGCGATCAGGCCAGTAACAGAGGACATTTTTTAAAATGAAATGGGGGAAAAATAAATATGAATTTTGAAACAATTAATGGGACACATGTTCTAAGGGGATGCCCTGTTGCTGACGTTTGGTGACTTGAGGCTGGTTGGTTCAGATTCAGGGAATTCTGGTGGCCTAGTGGTAAAAACTTCTGCTCCTGACCCAAAGGTGCATGGTTTGAATCCTTCCTCTGCTGCAGAAAGATGGACAATCTCCTCGTGTGTGGTAATTGACAGCCTCTGAAAACCCACTGGAGGGTCAGCTATGGGCCCATTCAGCCTGGACCACACGGAACCACCTGGTGTCCACCAGATGGCAGCATGAGCTCACACTGTGTTAGCTGCTGCCTCAAACTCTAGGGGTAGAACATGTCAAAGGGAGCAAAAAAGATTCCTTTGCTTGCTTATCTGTGGGGCACCACCCACCTGCACTGCCCTGTAAGCCCGACCCATCGCTACCGAGTTTATTCTGATTCACGGGGACCCCTGGTGTTCATCTGTCACAGAAGCAGGACTGTGTTCTGCACAGTTTCCTTAGCTTCTGTCCTATGGAAACAGCTCAACTGGAACGTCTTCTGTGCTACCCTTGGGTGGATTCAAACTGGCCAACCTCAGGTTGGTGCTACTGTTGTTCTTAGCTGCCATCAAGTTGGCTCCAACTCAAAGAGAAACAAACCCTTGCCTTCCCCAGTCCTTGTCCCTGTCACGGTTGTCAACCCGTCTCACCGAGGATCTTACTCTCGCTTGCTGACTCTGCTTTTCCAGACATGACTCCTCCTCCAGGTCCCTCCTGATGACATGCCACCACATTCCTGAGCCCTCTGGCGGAATGTCCTTCGAGGATGGTTGGTTTGTCCTTCCAGTACATGTGTTATAATGTTCCCCAGTGTTCATTAACACCACAATTCCAAGGCATTTGTGGTCCTCCTTCGGTTTTCCTTATCGGGGCCCAGCCTTCCTGTGCTGGTGCCCCTGGACTAGTGCTTTGAGAATCGAGAACACTCTTATTTTATTTTATTTTTATTTTGTGTGTGTACCGTCCAAATCTCATCTGACTGATGCAGGAGGAGATTGTCCCTCCTTCTCCAGCAGAGCATCTGGTGGATTTGAACTGCGTGCCTCTGGGATTGCAGTGCACTCTCTCTTCCCCTCCCCTCCCCTCCCCTCCCCCTTCTCCTTCCTCCTCCTCCTCCTCCTCCTTCTCCTCCTTCCTCCTCCTCTTCCTCTTCTTCTTCTTCTTCTTCTTCTTCTTCTTCTTCTTCTTCTTCTTCCTCTTCTTCTTCTTCTTCCTCTTCTTCTTTTCTCTCTGTCTCTCTCTGTCACAGGAGAGGAGACCACGGCCTGCCTTTCTCCCTCAACATGGCTGGTGGATTCAAACCATGAGAGAGGTATGGCTTTGGGGATGTCACAAATCAACACTCTAAGGCCTGAGCCACCAGAGCTCACATTCTTCACCCGCGTCCCAGTTAAAGACATCCCTTCTTTATTCACTGACTGGTGCTGTGGTCAGGCTAGCCACTCCACGTTCAGCAGGTGGACGCCGTGCCTTGCTTACGCTGCACCATCCACACAGTTTCCACTCTTGGGGTCTCTGTGTCCGCCCATCTCAGTGAGGGTCTTCCTCTTCTGTTTCCAGCATGATGTCTTTTTTTTTGGTCCAAGAATGGGTGCCTCCTGAGAACCTCTTTGAAGTATGTGAGAGGATGTGTCCTCACATTTGTCTCCAAGGAGGACCCTGGTTTACTTCCTCCAAGACCGAATCTGTTCTGGCAGTCCTGAGACATTTAATACCCTTCACCAACAGCTCAGTTCCTCTTCTGTCTTCCTCATTCACTGGCCAACATTCACAAGCGTGTAAAGCAATTGGGCCAGCGGTCAGCTTAGTCTTCAAAAGGACATTCTGGCTCTTCAGCCACTTTAAAGAGGCCTCAGGGTGAGCTCTGGTGGCCTAGTGGCAAGAAGCTGCATTGCAATCCCAGAGGTGAGCAGTTAAAATACACCAGATGCTCTGCTGGAGGAGGGGCAATCGCCTCCTGTACCTGTCAGATTCGATTTGACGGTACACGCATAATAATAATAAATAATAAAATTTTTAAAAGAGGCCTCTGCTGGCATATCTGCCCAGTGCAACATATGGTTTCCTGTTCTGACTGCTCTTTCTGTGGGAGTTTATTACGGATCCAAGGAGTGACATGAACGCTGCACAAACAGGGGACCCACCCCTATGCTTTTTAAGTGGATTTTGAGAAAGGGGCCCACAGAGCAAGACTGAAGGCTCTTGGGGAGGGGGCTCTCCTGCTGCCTGTCCCTCCCTTTCGACCCTGGGGGGTGGGATGGGTGTGGCTGTCACTGACCGGTGCAGGATGAGCAGGAGGCAGACGAGGCCAGTGGCAAAGACTGAGCACACGTAGGTGACCGCCAGGCGCTGGCGGGGCGGGTAGAATCCGTAGAAGAGAGGGGACCACTCTAGGTATCCCTGGGGATGGAGGAGGAACAGGGCTCGTTCAGGGCCCAGACGCCTGGGTCATCGGTTTGAAGGGCATGGAGCGCACATGGGCTCAGAGGTGGTGAGGTGTCTCACCAGGGAGAGTGGGGGAGACCCCAGCACGTACCTCTCCAGAAAGCAGGTTGAAGAGCTGGCCGGGGAAGGTGACCAGACCCTGGGGGTTTGGGTTGTAGGGTCCGCAGGGTGAAGTGATGTCGGGACTAGGGGGTCCTGGGGGGGCTCCCTCCAACCAAGTTGGCAGAAACGTCATGCAGGTGGTCAGCACGGCAGCCAGCACGTTGAGAAATAGGAGAAATCGCAGCAGAGAGAAATAGGACTCGGTGCCGGCCCCATACTGACCTGGAGAGGGCAGCAGAGATAAGCCTTGGGCTCTCCTTGGACCCTGACCCCGCCCCACCTGCGCGATGGCGATCCGGCCACGCCCCCAACCCCTCCCCTCCTCCCTGAGGCCAGCTAGGTTCTCCCCACCTCTTTGCAGCTCCCATTCTCAGCCTTTCTTTCCTGGAGGGTGAGCAGCCTGGCTGTTCCTCCACATCCTTCCTCCCTGCTAGCTCCTAGACCCCACCCCTTCTTCCGAAACACATTGATGCTCCTCCCCAGCCCTCCCAGGCCCCGCCCCTCACTGATGCCCCTCCTCCAGCATTCCCAGGCCCCGCCCCTCATTGATGTTCCTCCCCAGCTCTCCCAGGCCCCGCCCCTCATTGATTTCCTCCTCCAGCATTCTCAGGCTCCACCCCTCATTGATCTTCCTCCCCAGCATTCCCAAGCCCCACCCCCACTGATCTTACTCCCGAGCTCTCCCAGGCCCCACCCCTCATTGATGCTCCTCCCTAGCATTCCCAGGCCCCCCCCATTGATGTTCCTCCCCCAGCATCCCCAAGCCCCCCCCTCATTGATGCGCCTCCTCCAGTATTCCCA